ATAGCCATCCTCTACCCAGGAGATGTGCTGAAGGCTGAGGGACAGGTCTGCAGGACATCGATCCGGCACATCGACCCGCACACCGGAAAGGGGAAGCACCGCGACGAGGCCGTCCGCGTCCTGAAGTAAGTTGTGAATAGTCGTCGCTGTCGAGTTTGTTAGTCGCCGACACAGGGAATCTCATGCTGACCTCCTCTCCACTACGTTGCTCCAGGCTATTCCGCACGGCTGCCCTGGCCGAGCTGGGGCGTCCCGGTAGGAAGTGGGACGGGGCGCCTCCATCACAAGCAGTGGTGGAGGAAAGGCTTGCAGACTGCGACGACCCTATCCGCGACGTGAGTTGCACGTTTAGGCTCCGCTACGGTCTGCGCGTATCTGTGTGCACCGCTCATATTGTGCCGCGCTTGCCTGTGCTGTATGCAGAAAGTGCCGGGCACAGTGTCGGACGGGCATGTCGGCACCGGCATGCTTGCCGCGACGTCGTTCGGGTGGGTGGCCAAGCAGATCGGCCTGCTGACGGGCGACAAGGCTCGGAGCGCTGTGAGCATCGAGAACATCAAGGTCGCGGGTTTGAGGTCGCTCCGTGATAGCATGGTCGATTACATCTGCCATCGTGTCGCCGAAAACCGGATAGCGGCGCCGACTTCAGGCGCCGACGGACCCGCCGAGGGTGCGATTGATGACGACGGCGCGGAAAGTCAGACGGCGCCCCAAGCAGCAGCTGCCGCCCAGCTCCAGGAGGACTTGCCGGTGTCCGCGGAAGGAGGAACCGGTGGAGGACTAGGCGACGATGCGGCAGGCGCAGGCAGGAAGGAAGAGGAGTTGACGGACTCTGGCTCAGAGTCGGAGTCGGAGGGGGAGGAGGAGGACGAAGGGGAGAAGGAGAATGAGGACGAGGAGGATGACGAGGGCAAGGACGAGAACGATGAGGTGGTGGAGGTGGTGGCTGGGAAGGACGAGGCGGCGCACGAGGAAGGGGTGGAGGAGGAGGTGGAGTACGAGCTGGAGTACGCAGACGGCACGGTTGAGGCGGTGGGGTCGGCGGACGAGAAGAACGAGGAAGCGGAGGATGGCGATGCGGGTAATGCTACGGGGTCGGCAGGTGAGGGGAAGGAAAAGGATGAGGTCGGCGTGGAGGCAACGACGGAAACGGGCCAGGAGGAGGCGGCATGCGAAGGTGCGAAGGTGTCGGTCGACGCCGGCGAAGGTGCGAACATCGCGGGCGTGCAGGAGACGGGGGACGCATCTGGTCGGCAGGGCCCTGCAACGGACGACGTCGAGGAGCTGCGACGGGAGAACTTGCTGTTGAGGGCGGAGAACGCTCGGCTGCAGGGTTTGCTCGATGCGGAACGGGCTCGGCTGGACGCGTTTTTTGTTGGGCTACGTGGACTCGTCGACCACCTGAAGGAGTTGGCCGAGCAGGTCGACGACACCGAGAAGTATGCGGCGGAACAGCTGCGAAACGCGGCGGAGGCCATGTCGCAGACCATCACGGGCAACATCACCGGCAGCTTCGACGAGGCGTGGAAGACGATGAAGACCTTCGCGGAACAGGCGTCGGCGTGGCTGGAGGACTTCGACAACCCGGAGGGAAATGTGGCGTATCAACGCGCCTTAGCGGTCACCACCTTGGCCGACCACGTCGACAAGGTGGTGGGCGATGCGCAGGAGGATTTGCGGGAGCACATCACGAGCCAGTTGTCCGCCGCAGCTGTCAACATCGCCACAGCTGTGACCGGCAGGCTCCCCGTGCAGCCGCCGCCACCGCCTCAGCCCACGCCGCCCGCCCTCCCGGAAGAGCTCTTGAAGTCGTTCAAGGCCGACATCATGAAGACGGTGACGGAGGCCACCGAGCAGTCGTTCGTTGCGTCCGGGATGAAGATGTTGACCGAGATGATCGGCACGGTGGCGCCTGGTCGACGTGGTTCGTCGCCTTCGGCCAATGACGCCGACGCCGCGCAACAGAGGGCGGCCGACAAGCAAGGCCTGAAGAGGTCGGGCGACGGTGACGACAAGGAGAGCTCGAAGCGGAGCAAGGGATCGGACGGGAGCCGCGTCACGAAGCCTCCTGCGCGGAGCGTGGTCGACATGCTGAAGGCGAAGGGGTGGAAGGTGAGGGGAGGGTCGACCAGCAAGGGAAGCGGAAGCGGGGGGGCGGACGGGAGACCTGCCGACGGGATCGCGGCTAACGTCGATGCACCGCCTGGCCCGCCTTTGGACGCCGAGCAGACCCATCCTCAGGCGAGCGGTGGGAAGGACGCGGCCCCCACTGCCCAGGCGGCGAAAGTCGGAGGCGCCGGAACCACCCAGGGGCCGTCTGACGCGGTGCCGGCCAAGGGCAAGGCGATGTCTGCGTCTGCTACGGTCGCCGGAACCGGCACGGCGAAGGCTGCCTCTGCTTCAGTCCCCGGAACCGGCAAGTCGAAGGCTGCTTCTGCTACGGTCGCCGGAACCACCAAGTCGAAGGCTGCTTCTGGTACGGTCGCCGGAACCACCAAGTCGACACCATGTAACCCGCCTGCGGCAACCACCGGGCCCGCCGGCCAGACAGGTGCGGGGAAGCATGGGGAGGCCCGTGCGGCCCCTCCAGCTCCAGCAGCCCCTACTGCCGCCAAGGTCGACGCGAAGGCTGCTTCGGCACAGGAGCCACCCGGGAGTAACGCGCTTAGGGTGTTGCTCCACCGCATGGAGTCCCACCGCCCGGGCGCGCAGCAGCATCATGTGGTCGACGCCGGCCTCGCAGAAATAGCACGTCGCTCCGTCACTCCGCACGTTGCCGGCAAACCGTCCGATGCCCAATCTGCCGCGCGGCCGGTCGCCGCCCCACCGCCTGCGGACCCCAAGTCCGCGTTTCTTCGCGCCCATATAGGCGCACGCAAAGCGGCAGCTCCACCAGTCACTCAGCCGGAACCCGGCACAAGCGCGACGCCGACGGCTGTAAATGCGACCGCATCCTCCCCAGGAGCAGCTGTGGTCGATCTGGCGGCGGAGAGGGGAGTCAGTGCAGCGCTAGCCACCGGCGGCCGCGCCGACAGGCATGCCGCCCTCGAATCCGTCCTGGCCCAGTTTGAGGCAGCAAAACGGCCCGAGCATGCCCCGGCACTGGCCATCGTGGACACGGCGCATGCGGAGCCGTCGGCGACCAACACAGGGGGTTCGGCGGAGCCGACGGCCGCAACGGGTGTTGTCGCCGAGGAAAATGCGGGACGGAAGGGTAAGGACGACACCGGGAAAGGGAAGGCGGTGTCGGCGGGGAAGGAGATGGCGGAAGACAAAGGGAAGAAGCCGGCACGGAAGACGGGCGGCAAGGGTAAGTCGGCAAAGAAGAAGGAGGAGGAGGAGAAGGAGGAGGAGGAGGAGGAGGAGGTGGGGGAGGGGGAAGAGCATGGACGCCGGGGTCATGGCATCCGCCGAGACAGGTCTGGCGACGGGCAGGGGTGGGTGGGCGAGATGAAGTTCAAGAACCAGAATCGGTACATCGGCAAGTCCCGCGACAAGATGGAGCTGGCCTACGAGCACGCGATTGCGTACTCCGTCTACGACGGCTACGTGAGCAAGGTGCTCATGAAGGAGCTCACCGCCTTGAAGCCGGGAGAGTTGGATGAATGGAAGGCGGTGTGGGAGGAGGTCAAAATCCTGCCGACCGGGATGTGGACGGTGATGTGGGCCAGAGGCTTGTGCCATCCGAGAGCAAGGTAAGTCGGTTACCGACATGCCGTGTTTTGACGACCAAGTCGGTGTCATTAATTCTATGTGTACGTGTTCGCTCGGCAGGTTCGACGACATACTCGGCAGGTTCCGTGGGTACGCAGGTTCGGGTGATGCGCTTCATGGCGTGCTCTGGCCGGCGATGTGGTTCCCCATCATCGAGGACACGGAGGAAGGCAGGGCGGAGACAAATGCAAACATGTCGGCGATGGTGAATCGCGTGTCGATGTGCGCGGCGTATGGAAAGGTCGCGGCGAGAGTCGCGTATGGGAAGGTCGACGGGAGCGCGGAGGCGACCGCGGGAGAGACGACGGATATGGAAGGCGCGGACAGGAAGGCGGACGAGAAGGTGCAGATGGGGGCCCAGGCGTTAGCGGCCTCTGCATGCGCCCTCTGGTGCTACATGTCGACGCCGGCGTCGGTGCTCGGTGCTGTGGGCGAAGGTAAGGCGGCCGCGATTCTGGCAGGTGCGGGGAAGGAGAGGGGCGAGCACTTCGCGATGGTCATGCACGTGGTTATCGAACACGCACGCACTCGGCAGGCTCCCGCGGGGGAGGTTGCACATAACGTCGCGCCAGAGCTGCAGCGCTATGGAGTGGCCAGGGCCTTCGAGGCGGGCATTGAGGAAGACGAGGCCGACATGATCGCAAGAGCGACGGTCGAGACCTTGGCGTTCTGGGGAATGTGCCCCCTCGACGGGCCCAAGCTCAAAGCGGAGGGCATCGATGTGCCGTGTGACGCGAAGATGGAGTACGACTTGGATCACAGGGGGAGGAAGGGGGAGAAGGTCAAGCAGGCCAAGGGCAGCAAGAGGAAGAGGTAGTACGGATGCGTAGTCGGCGGAATGATGTTTGCTAGGTTGCTAGGGTGTGTACTATATTGGTATGGACGGCGCCGATTTTGGCGTAGATTTGTTAAATGTGGCCTTTTTTTGTTCAAGTGCTGTTCGTTTCAATATTGGGCTAACAACTCTGTGTCCCTGTATAACCATGCTAGCCGAATATCACCCGATGAGCCAAGTCGGCGCATATGTCGACATGATATGCACATGATACGTCGGCGATAAGCAGTGCAGAAACATGGTTGTCGGCGTCGACAGTGATTTTTAGCCACACCTACTGTACTGGGCGACAAACAACCAACATCGGCAACATCGGTTCGCATGGACATTGATGTGGGATGTTTACAAACTACCAGGGACATCAGTCGGATGGGGCGGGGGGGGGGGGGGGGGGAGGGGGGGCTGTTGAAGTCTGCCAAAATCTACGCAGACGCATATCCCATGAGGGACTTCATGCCGTCTTCTTGCGCTTGGTCGGAGGACGCTGCACGGGTGCGGTCGGCTTGGCCGGTGCTGTCGACTTGGCAGGTGCGGTCGGCTTCGCCAGGTCGGCCTTGGTCTTCGGCATCTGCTCCTCCCAGGTGTCTGGAAAGAGGGCTTCGAGCCATTCGGCCGGCTTCAGATTGAGCGCGACAAGCCCACAGGCGAGGCGAAGCTTAGAGACAACCTTGGGGCCCAGCCCCTTGACTCCCATGCCAGGCTCTTTCGACTTCATCGGTTCCGTTTTCGGGTTGAGCACCGTGAGGGCGTCACAGAAGGTCCCAATGCCCGGTGCCGCGATCCTGTTCAGTGCGTCGACCACGGCCTCGGTGTCGGCGTCGCCGTCGCTCGCGCGTAGCTGGCGCACCGCATCCATGGCCCTCATCATGCGTCGCACTTTCGTGTCGAGCCCACCCTGCGTCGCGCCCTTTCCTGTGAGGAGGGTGTGGCGGGCGACGAATCCCTTCTCGGCGACCCTGTCGCAAAGGCGACGGGTGTCATTGGCGGTGGCGGAATTCCATAGGCGCCAAGCGTCCCTCACAGTCTTTGCCTCCCGCCACGGTTGCACCACGTTGAGCTCGTAACTGGCCTCCTCGTCCGTCTGTGGGGGGGGCGGGGGTTTGTCATCCCCTTTCTTGGCTCCAGCCCCCGTGCTGGCCGACTCCGCCGATCCACCATCGCTGGGAGTCTGCGCGGGAGCCGACGGCGGGGCCACCGGCACTCTCCGTGCTTCCGACAAGCGGAGTGCCTCGGTGACACGGGCTAGCTCGGCGGTGAGCCCAGCGATGGCGTCGTCGCGCTTCTCGATCTCCTCTAGGAGATCAATCTTCTCGTTCGCGGCGCGCTCTTTCTCCTTCTGCATCTGGGCCATGAGGGACATGTTGTAGTACTCGGTGTCCATGCGCACCGAGATTTCCTGCAGCAGTAGGAGGAGAAAAACGTGAGGGCCGCGGTGGTTTGGTTTACACTCCCTACTGCACGTCGGCGACAGTATCGTCGACTTACCTCTGGCTGTATTTGGGTCGGGTCCCGACGCTTGTTGATCGTCTCGGTGTCGACGCTCTCCACCCGTTTCGCCCAGTGCTGGAAGAGGGGGATCCGGCAGAGCTTGGAACCTTGGACGTACGGGTGCCATGGTGTGCGGACTAGCTTCACCGCTAGGTCCTCGGCGACGATGCGGCGCAGCATCAGGAGAGTGCGCCAGAAGTGCACCGCGGCTTTGTCGGCGTCTGACCCCTCGACAGCCTTCCCTTCCGCCTGCCATTTGTCACGGGTACGGGGAGCTCAGAAAAGGTCGGCAACACGACTCGGCGGCAAGCTACGAGGGCGTCGACTAACATACCTCCTTCAGCATGTCGTCGACGCCGGGGAATATGTGCTCGGCGAGGAGCTTCAGGAGCTTCTCGGAGGGCGGCACCCTGCTCCGACCCAAGAAGTAGTCCTGCTTGTACCCCGAGTACCCGGCCTTCTTCATCACCACCCCCACCGGAATGGCGGTGATGTACGCTCGCGTCATCTTGTCGAGAGCCCAGTGTCCAAGCTCCGCGATCTCGGCGCGCGGCGTGCCGTCGATAGCCAGCTCCTGGGCCCCGCCCGCTCGAGCGGCGTGCACGTTCCTCTTGCAGAACACCTTGTTGGTGTCCCACAACTGCCGCGTCCAGCGTTGGTGGGTTGCCGCAGAGAGCTCACCCTGGTCGGTGTCGTTTTTGGCGAAGAACAGGTGTTTCTTGTACCAGCTAGCGCGTGTGCTGGTGTCGACCGGCGGAATGAGGCGGACGCCGTGAAACTGACCGATCTGATCGAGGACGAAGTGCAACCACAGGCCCGTCTCGCCGACGGCGCACAACTCCGCTTCGAGGTGCCGCGCGGCGTAGCTCTGCTGCAGACGAGCATCCTTGGACGTCTTCGAGTTCCGCGCTCCGATGACCATGACGACCGGCTGGTTCTCCGGGTTGATCGAGGAGGTGCTCGCCAGTCGGTACAAGAAGATGTCGGGGAGAGTGATCTCGCGGATGCTTGCACCGCGCAGGAGAGAGTGGTGGGAGAGTAGCGTGAGCACCTTCAAGAGAAGAAACCTCCACAGCGTCTGCGAAGGACCCGTACCCCGCGGGTTCCACGCCTTGGCCGCCCACGCCGGCAGCACCCTGAACATGATCTGGCGGAACTGTTCGGCGGTGTAGGTATCGCCGATGGTTCCGCGACGGCGATCGGCGCAGTTCCTGCCAACAATGCCATGGGCAAGGGGTATTTAGGGCGGCGTCGACAAAGATCATGACAGCAGGAGAGTGGTCGACGTAGGTTAAAACATAAACTCACTTGATGTCCCGCTCGTTCTTGGTGCGGATCATGTACCGCACCTCCGACCTGACCACCGATATCTCCCTCATGATGCTCAGTTCCGTCTCCCGGAAGAGCGTCGCCTCCACTCTCGCCGCCATCTGGCATGCCTTTATGCGCCCGAGGAGCGTGTGTACCGTTGTCGACTGCACCGGCTGTGTTCCTGTGGCGTTGTCGGCCCCCTTGCCGGACTCGGCATCGAGGTTCAACTCCCGAATCATGTACTTCACGTATGCGCGAAGCCGGTCCTTGGTGACCCTAGGGCCGTGCAGCCACACGTGAGACCGGGGGACATCGGCCTCTTGGTCCCAGTTTTTCTTCTTGTTCTCCCGGATGTAGTGCCCTATCTCGTCGACGTGCTTAAGCCTGTACTCCTGCGGAAGCTTGTTGCGAATTTGCTTCAACATCTTCGCCGCCCACCTCTTGTAGTGATAGATCCACGAGGTGTACTGCCTCAGCGTGCTGTTCCTCTCCACGGTTTGCAGGTGGCGAAGAGCGTCCATGACGAGCACGTCTACGCACGCGTAAACCATGTCCTCCTCGACGAAGTCTGCCGCTCTCCACTGTTCGCGCGGCACCGCCAAGTTCTCCTGGTCCTCGTCCTCGTCCTGGTCGAGCAGTATGTCCTCCTCGACGAAGTCTGCCGCTCTCCACTGTTCGCGCGGCACCGCCAAGTTCTCCTGGTCCTCGTCCTCGTCCTGGTCGATGAATTGCAGTTCCCGCCTGAGTCGTTCGTCCAAGGTGCGCGGATTAGAGCTACGAGGTGGACGGTCGTCGTTTTCGTCATCGCTTTCCTCCTCCTCCTCCTCCTCCTCCTCCTCCTCCTCCTCCTCCTCCTCCTCCTCCTCCTCCTCCTCCTCCTCCTCCCCCCCCTCCTCCTCCGCGTCCTCGTCATCGACCTGGTTTCCAGGGGCGGCCGGTGCCGACGAGGTACCTGGCCGACCATTTTGCGTAGGAGTCTGTTTTTTCTTCTTGTTGAACTTCCCTATCGGCGGTGGCGGAACGTCCGTGGTGAACACCCCTTCTGGGATCTGCGTCAGCTTGTCCAGATCGTAGAGTAACTGCAGGTTGTCTTCGTCGGTAGGTGTCGGACTGTGGTCGGTGGATGTCGGACTGCGGTCGGTGGTCGTCGGACCCTGGTCGGTGGATGGCCTAGCGTCGGACATGTCGACGTCGGCCATGTCGGTACACGTCTGCTGCTCTACCGTCGTCCGTGTGCGTTGGGGAGGTTGTTAAACCACTGCCGGTACTGAGTCACGGGTGCGGTGTACGCCCGAACAGTTGCGCGGCGGTCGTCCTCGAGATGTCCCTCAATAACGTCTATCTCGGCGTCGACCTCGAGATCGCGGGGGGTGGTAAACCAGAGACGGTACTGTGTGACGGGTGCGGCGAACGCGCGAAGCGTCAGGCGGTCTTCGTCTTCTTCGAATTCTCGCTCAAGCGCGTCTAGCTCGGCTTCGAGTTCAAGCTGTTCCAGCTGCGCCTTGATGTCGGCGTCTACCGAGTCGGCGGGGGGTGGGATGGGTTGCGGCTGTTGGGCCCTCGGGCGACCTCTGGCCATGCGTCGCCGACTTGCTACGTCGACTCGCGACGTGGAACCTGTGCCGACTTGGACGAACAATCGGCTGTCGAGCAACCTACAGGCGCGATGACAGACTGGCAGCTGAAAATTCCAAGGGAACGAGAGAGCAGGAAGGAACGCAGGAACGGACAAGCGAATGAGCAGGCTCGCGGGGCAACGGACGGGTATGGTCCTGAGCGACTACGATGCTGCCGCGCGTCACGCACACCCCAATGCATCCGCCGCCGTGCATGTGTTCTCGTAAAGGCGGCGCACTGTCCGACGTGGCACGTGCCAGGCATGGCTAGTTGGGCGCCGCGCTGCACGGAAGGGGCGTAAGCCAGTGCCATTCCACGTCGGAATGGGCGTGCGTTACGCGGCTTGCGACCGCCATTGGCGCCCCAGTGAAGAAATTAAGGCAAGCAGACATGGATCTGGTCGACACCGACTTCCCTGGCAACCCGCGATGCCACAAGACAGTGAAGATGTGGACGGTCCGATTTGCGCCGCGTGGGTTTGCACCGCTAGAGCGACGCGTGGCCACGACGCCCACGTCGTGGCAGCCTTGTAATCGGTGGGGCGGGTCTCGCACCTCCCTATTGGTCCGCGTGGAGGCATCCGCGGCTCGACGTGGCGAATTTTGTCCGCTGAGATTTCCTTCTCAGGAATCTCCCAGCGCAAACGGGTGTCGTCGGATTGTCGACAATCCCGAGGGCTCCCGAGGCCCCTGGGACGCCATTTGGGCCCGTCTGGGAGCTCGGAGGTCGTCGGGAGGTCGTCAATCCCGAGGGGGGGCCTTGTCCCTTTTGAACCGCGAAATTGGGCGGCATTTTTCGTCCGCTGAGGTATATCATCCCAAAAACAATGAACATCAGATCCGCGTAAAGCTCTGCGATGCAATGAACATCCCATGCCGCCCCTACCCCTAGTCTTCTCGTCGGCTTACAGCTGTCATGAGCTGTAGAACCACAAACTGCCCGTGCTGGTTGTCTTAATCTAGCTACGGCGTTTGTCCTCCTGCGGCGATTGATCATTGCGCAGATATTTTTTGTTCGTTACAATTTGCAAACTGCCCCTAGAATTCCCGTGCGCTTGGTTCCGCTCCTCACTTTTTGGGTTTATACAGGGTCGGCGAAATAAATTCGAGCAGCAATTTCTTCAGCGAGGCCCGCCATGCCGTCAGAGTGTCCTCTCCTCTCCCCAGCTTCCTCCACCAAGTGAGTGGGGGTAGGGAAGGGATGCAAACGAGTTTTCTGAGGTGCACGTGTGGCGCAACACATTCGCATTTCACAGCCAATCGTTGCGAATATTGCTTGCGGCCCTGGTACAGCAGCAAATTCGGTTTCAGTAAATTATTTGGGACCACCCTGTCTTTCACATTTGGCCCCCCAACCCGAGTCTCTCCCCTCCACCGACAAAGCACTTAACTGCCATCGTGACCCCAGTCTGTCGCCAGCTCACTCCGTTTCCTGCACTTATCTGAAATCTCACCCACCAGCATATGCTCTCCCCGCATTATCCACGCTCCCATTTCGCTCCTTTACTCCGCCGCTCCACACCACCACCCAAACTCCTCTCCATTTCAAACCCCAAACCCCATTCACCACCACCGTCCGATGTGTCGTGTGGATGATGCTTTGCTTGCCCCGCCCCGCACCACGCAAAACCACCATCACGCGAATCATGTTTCCCTTCCACCACACACACCACACCAAACAATACCAGACCAGACCACACCAAACTAAACCACACCAAACCACACCACACCACGCCACCTCCACTCTCTCCACCACCACTATCTTTCGTTCCACATCTGGCTGAAACTTGCTTCTCCTCCTGCCGTCTTTACCATCTGACCTCAACCTCCAGGTTTTCTGCACCTAGACGCTCCACATATCTCGTCCATCCAGTTCATTGGCTGCTGCTTTTCAGACTTATCATTCTCTGGTTCCTTATTCTTCGAAATTTCGGGAGTCGCTTGATTTTGCTGCCTTTCTTATTGGCTTCCGTGATAAGTAGACTACAGCCAGACGAGAGCGGTGTTACTGTACAGCAGCAAGTGACTCTACGACAGTGCAACGGCCCTATTTATCAGCTATCAGCTCAGACTGACTAAGGAGATTCAGAATCAGCATGCTAGTTCTCCGAAGTTTAGGCTTCTCACCGTTGACCGCCTTCCGTTTCTTCCCTAGGTTTCCTTTCCTACCACTTGGCTGATACTTTTAGGTTAGTCCTTATCAATGGTCTCGTCATCGTCGTTTCTCCGGCGACCGACCGAGGCGCCGTGGAGTACTTTTAAATTCTCCAAGGTCATCGGTGAAGGCCGGTTCGGTACGGTGTGGCTGTGCGAAGATTGGCGAACCGGCGAGCAGTACGCGTGTAAAAAGGTTCTTAAAGCGTCACTCAAGGACTCGCTCCTGCATCAGCACTTTTTACGGCAGGAGGTCGCGCTTCTGGATTTTATGGCAGGAAAGCATCCCAATATTGTTGAGCTTAAGTTCGTCTTTGAAGACGACGAAGCCATTTATCTCATGATGGAGTATTGTGACGTCGGAGATCTCTTTTCTTACGTCACCAGCAATGGAGTCTGCACCGTTCCCGAGGCTCGCAGCAGCAGCTGCAGCAGCAGCAGCGGCATCGGCGGTTTAGGTTCCATAAAATCCAGGGGTAAGGCTTCCGGTGGCGAAAACTCGAGCAGCAGCAGCAACAGCAAGCAACGTTCTGGTTTGTCCTGGGGATTACCGGAGAATAAAGCTGTCCTGATTTTCCGCCAGTTGGCTCACGCCGTTCTCTATTGTCACCGGAACGGGGTGGTGCATCGCGATATTAAGCTCGAAAACGTTCTCCTCTCCAACCCTCTCAACTCCTCCGTTCCTCAGTACTACTATTCCACGTCCTTACCTTCACCTTCGTTACCGAAGCATCCTGGTACCGCTTCAGACGTCCGCGTTGTCGCGAAACTAGCTGATTTCGGCCTCGCGGTTCGTCTGGCTCCGGGGGAGAAAACCGTCGGAACTGCCGGCAGCCGGCCTTACGAAGCTCCCGAGGTGATTCTCGGCCAGGAATACGACATGAAAGCTGACGTATGGTCGCTTGGCGTGTTACTCTTTGGAATGCTCTCCTGCTCCATGCCGTTTCAAGGCAGCGGTGAGCGGCAACTGACTCGCCAGATCATTCGCGGAAACGTGGATATGTCGCGCGGAGCCTGGTCCGCGGTATCGGCGGAAGCAAAAGATCTGATTCGCGCGATGCTGTTCGTGAATCCCGACGAGCGGATTTCCATGGCGGAGGTTGTCACGCATCCGTGGATTAAGGCTGCTTCCAGGCGAAGGCCTGTGGTTACCACATCGTTAACCGAGCTTGATTTCGCTAATGTTACTTCCGGAGCAGTTTCGCCTGCGTTTCATGGCTCGTTGACGCCGACAACGCCCTTGTTTTCCATGAAGAGTCCGTTTGGCCGTCGTAGGAAGGTCTCGAGCACAAGCGACCTTCCGTCGCTGTATCCGTGCAGTAAAGTCGAGGGCGATGCGGACGGAAGGGACCACAAGATCGATGAGGAAGATAGGAATAATAATCAGGGGCTCGATGCGCCGGGAGCGGACGAGCGCAGTGCTGGATTATTTGTTAAGATCGCTAATCAGGAAGATTCTGATGCTGCTTCACGCAACACACAATCAAGCAATCGAGAAAAGGAGAACTCCCTCCCTCCCCTTCACCCAAAGACTCCGCAAGGATGTGCAGCTGATGCGGCCTTGGGACTGTTGGTTGTGCTGCCGGATGAAATGGCAGGAGGGGTTGAGACGCACGGTTGCAAGGGGGGGTCTTCCATGTGGGATTCATTTCTTCCTGCTCTGTCGCCATCTCGTAGAAAATGGAGAAAGAGCTTTTAGTGGGGCTTGAAGAGAAACCTGGGAGGAGCTAATGTTTTTTACCTGGGAATAAGACTACAGCACTGCTGCCTCCTCCCAAATTTGTATGGTGATCCGGCCTACGTAAATGTAGCTTGGAGCAAGGCTGGCGGTTGGTTTTGGGCCGTCCACAGGGCCTGTTGATTCAAGACAATATAATTTCAGCTCTGTTATACATTTCAACACCCTTCACAGGAGCACCAAACAAGACATGAGTCAGTTCTGAGTACTTATGTGGTCATTTGGTTCTTTTTGTATGTTGTATGTTTATTTACTGACTGCAGAGTGGAAATGATTCTGTAAGGAGCACTCCTCTGGTGTGGAGCGTGAGAGCGTCTGAATGAGGGGAATCTGCGACAGGACCAGGGACAATGGATCAGCATGGAAGTCCCGCGCCATGCCATGAACATCCCACCCGCTTTGCCCCTCACTCACAGTCGTCTTGTCCGTTCTCACAGCTGTCGTATCCGTAGAACCACAATTTCCCCACTGTGGTTCTGCTCGAAGGCTCAGAAATTTGAGCTGCGCCTGTACTGAACTTGTTCGGCTCGTTTACACCATTGGCCTTGAGTTCGCGATCTGTGTTGGCGAAAGAAATTTCCGCAGCAATTGGTCCGGACTCGGAGCAACCTCCCAAACTCGCTCGCACCGACTGGTTCGGTTCGGATAGCTCCTGACCGCATCGCCGTCAGACGTACTTTAGGGCGGGATCAGCGCGTTCGTTTTCCATGATTGTACAGTTCGTCCGTCGTGGCGCAAAAAGGTTCCAACTGGTTTATAGCGGTTTTCAAGCTCAACCATTTTGTACCGTGACGAAACGAGATCAACCTCTCAGAACTAACTGCACATTTGTCAAAAACGAACGCGCTGACCCCGCCCGGTCCGGAATAACGTCCTCTTTCTCCAGCTTGGAAGGGGGTCCCACATATCAGCCGAGGGTATTAATAATTGACACCAGTCGCGTTTCACAATCAGTGTGGTTTATACTGCCGGCAACCCTGGATAGGGGTAGCAAGAGGCGGAATCGGTTCTCTTGACCTCCAAAATACTCTATCATTTTGGGTTGTACCCAATTTCTCCTAGTTACCCTCCAAAAAATATGCTTTTGCTTTTGGTGAGCCCAACATGTCGCCTCGCCAGCTCACCCCCTCCCCTCACCCTCTTGCTGCCTTTGGTCAGAAACTCCCCCTACTGGCGCTGTTGCGCATGTCCTCCCCGTATGCACCCTCTCCCCCTTCCCCTTTCTCTCCTCCTCCCTCCCGACCCCTGCGGCTGTTTGATCCCCCCTTCAACTCCCAAATGTGTGCTTTTGCTGCTTTCCTTCCCGCGGAGATATTCACCCCGCGCGCGGGAACGGCTCCTCCATCCCAGCAGCTGAACCTCACCCTCCATGCCATCGCGACGATCTAATACAACACCATTGTCACATCCACCGTCCAGAACACGTCACAATTGATTCCCCGTTTGGATCATGCTTCACTTGCACCGCACCACACACCACACCACCGTCACTTTCTGACAAAAAGGGTTCCTCCTCGGAAACTCCCCCGCCACCATGCCACACACACGCACCACCGTCCACCAACCCACCCCCTCCATTGATACTGTAGAGGGATCCCCCTTCACTGCTAGGGTTTCCTTCCCATGTCACTGCTAGGGACTCCCTAGCTGTGAGCATCCAGCATTCTAGGTTCTCCGCACCTACACCCTCCATTTGCACGTCTCCTCTCATCAACAGGCTTCGGGGTCTGCCGTTTGCGGGGCTTTCTGGTTCTCTGGTTCTCGACTTCTGCAATTTTCAGAGTTGCTTGATTCTGCTCTGCTGCGTTTCTGTGTCTGGCTTGGTTATCAGAGCTTTAGGAGGTACGAAGCGACACTAAGAGGTCGGTGTTCGAACAGCGCCGCTTAGTCTTTGGCACTAGTTATGATTATAGCTGATAGCTTCAGCTCGGACTGAACAGAGGAAATCCAGAATCAGCATGCCAGTTGTTCGTAGGTCAGGCATTTCTCCATTGTCCGCTTTCCGTTTCTTCCCTAGGTTTCCGTTCCTATCCTTCGGCTGATAGTTTAGGTCAGTCACAATAAATGGACTCGTCAGCTTCGTTTCTCCGGCGACCGACCGAGGCGCCGTGGAGTGCTCTCAAGTTCGTCAAGGTCATCGGTGAGGGCCGGTTCGGTACGGTGTGGCTGTGCGAGGATGGGCGAACCGGCGAGCAGTACGCGTGTAAGAAAGTCCTTAAAGTATCTCTCAAGGACTCGCTCCTGCATCAGCACTTTTTACGGCAGGAGGTCGCGCTGCTGGATTCTATGGCGGGAAAGCATCCTAACATAATTGAGTTGAAGTATGTCTTCGAGGACCGCGAAGCCATTTACCTCATGATGGAGTTTTGTGACGTCGGAGATTTGTTCACCTATGTCACCAGCAATGGCTGCACAATTCCCGACGCTCGCAGCAGCAGCAGCAGCGGCAGCAGCAGGCTTCGGTTTCGGTATAACTTCCGCAAAATCTGGTGGGAAGGCTTCCGGCGGCGAGAACTCGAGCAGCAGCAGCAGCAGCAGCAGCACCGTTCTGGTACATCCTGGGGATTGCCGGAGAATAAAGCTGTTCTGATTTTTCGTCAGGTCGCTCAAGCCGTCCATTTTTGCCACCGGAACGGCATCATGCATCGCGACATCAAGCTTGAGAACGTACTCCTCTGCACCCCTCTCAACTCCTCCGGTCCTCAGTACTACTACTGCTCCGCATTACCACCTGCTCCGTTACCGAAGCAAGTAACTGCTTCAAACGACCGTGTTCTCGCGAAGCTCGCTGACTTCGGCTTGGCGGTTCACCTGGCTCCGGGGGAGAAAACCGTCGGAACTGCCGGCAGCCGGCCGTACGAAGCTCCCGAGGTGATTCTCGGCCAGGAGTACGACATGAAAGCAGACGTTTGGTCGCTCGGGGTGCTCCTCTTCGGAATGCTCTCCTGCGCCATGCCGTTCCAAGGCCATGGCGACCGGCAGCTGATTCGCCAGATTCTCCGCGGAAATGTGGACCTGTCGCGCGGAGCCTGGTCCGCGGTGTCGGCGGAAGCCAAGGATCTGATTCGCGCAATGCTGTCTGTTAATCCCGACGAGCGGATCTCTATGGCGCAGGTCGTCGCGCATCCGTGGATCAAGGCGGCTTCCAGGCGAAAGCCAGTGGTTACCACGTTGTTCGCCGGGACTGGAGCGATCGGAGCGCTTTCGCCTGCTGTTTCCAGTTCGCTGACTCCGAGAACTCCCGTCGATTCTCTGGTGAGTCCACCTGGTTACCAGAAGGATGCGAACGTCAGCGATCTTCCTTCTCTTGATCCATGCAGTAGAGACGATGAGGATGCGAACGAAAAGAACAGGCTTGTCGCAGGGGAAGGAGACGAGGGTAGCTGTGGGTTGTTTGAGAAGAACGCTGATCAGGATGCTGATGTTGCTTCACGCAAGAAGCGTGACGGCATGAAAGATAAGGAGAACGCTTGTCCTCCAGTTCATCCGACGGCTGCACGAGGCGTTGCAGGGGACGCGGCCTTAGGACCATCGATTGTGCTTCAAGCTCAAGCAGCAGGGGGAGCAGAGAAGCAGGACATCAAGGAGAAGGCATCTTTCTGGGATTCTTTTCTTCCTGCCCTGGGTCCATCTCGTGGGAAATGGAGGATGGGCTTTTAGTGAGCTAGGGAACTGGTTGGATTTTTTTTTGAGGGATTGAACATGGGTGCGCATTGAATGTTTGACGTTGTGTTTTGCTTCATTATTGTTCTTCATGTGATTAGACTAAGCTTAGGGGTTTTTTGGCTCAAAGAGAAGTGTAGCCAAGGCCAAAAAAAGTCTTTAGTTTCCTATCTGGTTTTCTCCGATGCTGTTTCAGTTGACCACATGTCTTGCAGCATGCTGGAGTGAATGGTCAGCAGCTCCTGTTATGAAGTGTCGCAAACAATAGTTCAAATACACTCTCGCATCAACGCAACAGTATCACAGTGGACAGTACACTGTCAGTGGCTAACCAACTGAACAACTAACATACTTGTAAAGAATCCATCAACCACCATCCACCTGCAGCTGCTGCTCCATTAGAAGCACCCCTGACCATCCTGGTGTGTCTTCCGACAGGCTAAATTCCCACCCCACTCACATCTTGCTCCTCCATTCATGAATACCTTGGTCAATGTTCGGTAATATACGGTAGGTTCACTCGACTTTCGAGTGTACTGTAGTACCGTATGTAATTAAGAGTAAATTCCGTAACTAAAGTACCTCATCCATCCCTAGTATCAGAAATAAACTGTTCTCTCCTCTACTTCATGTATTCTCCTAGGTCACGAGCAATCAACTGAAGGAATGCAACAAAACCCATGCCCACAGCACCGCCCTCCACATCCCCATCCACATCCTGCTCCTCAATCAGAAACATCTCTAAGGGGGCTGTGCAATGGATCCGCCACCTCCCTTCTCTACTTCATGTATTCCCGCACGTCCCGCGCTATGGACTCTAAAAAGGCCACAAACCCCATGCCCACCGCCCCGCCCTCCACATCCCCATCCACGTCCTGCTCCTCAATCAGAAACGTCTCAAAAGGAGCTGTGCTGTCCTGTGCTGCCCACACCTCTCCTCTACTTCATGTATTCTCGCACATCACGAGCAATGGATTCGAGGAATGCAACGAACCCCATGCCCACCGCCCCGCCCTCCACGTCCCCATCCACATCCTGCTCCTCAATCAGAAACGTCTCAAAGGGGGCTGTGCTGTCCACGCCTCCCCGGATGGTGATTGTACGCGGTGTGATTATGCGATCGGCTTTCAGCCGGTTAATGGTTGTCCTTAGCAAGCCTAGAAGGAGGTGAGAAAGGGAAGAAGAGAGTGGGAAGAGCGAAAGAGAGCGAATGGTAATTATACGTGGTGATTATGCGATCGGCTTTCAACCGATTTATGGTCGTTCGCAGCAAACCTAGTGGGGGAGGGAGAAGAGAAAGAGAAAGAGTGCCTCAAAGGGGGCTGTGCTCTCCACGCCTCCCCAGATGGTGATTGTAATCGTTGTGATTATGCGATCGGCTTTCAGCCGGTTAATGGTTGTCCTTAGCAAGCCCACGCAGGGAGAGAGGGAGAAAATTGGAGAGGGAGAGGCAAAAGGAAATGGTGATTGTACACGGCGTGATTCTGCGATTGGCTGTTAGTCGGTTGATGGTCGTCCTTAGCAAGCCTACGCAGGGAGGGGAGGGAGCGAGGGAGACGAGAAGGAGAAGGATGGTGATTGTACTGGATGCTTCGAGGAATAAGTTGGGGATGCTGCTGGTGACGAGAGGCATGAGGAGAGGCAAGCAACTGTCTATGTAGTGACACAAGCAGCATCGATCTATGGGAGGGCAGGCATGAACTCACTTGTTTGTGGTGGGAGAAACGGGAGGTCCACAGGAGCAGCGGGCGAATAAAAGACGATGATGGTGCTGAATGGGTCCAGGAGGAAAATTGGGCTGCCGCTGGTGACGAGTGAGTGCTGGTGATGGGACAAGTTACATGAGGAGAGGCAAGCAGCAACTGTCAGAGGAAGGACCACTCACTTGTTTGGGGAGGTGGGAAGGGCAAGTCGGGGGGAGCGGCAGGCGAGTAGAAAATGATGATGGTGCTGAATGCATCAAGGAGGAAAATTGGGCTGCCGCTGGTGACGAGTGCAGCGCGGCTCAGGGAGTGGCGGGGGAAGGCTGGGCGGTCGGGAGTGGTGTAGGAGGAGAGGACGGGGTAGACTGCCCGCATGAGGAAGGAGGGGTCCAGGGAACTGCGGTTGGGAGGGGTTGGCAGGGGTTGGGATGGGTGGTGATAGCAACAGAGGGGGTGGAGAGAGGTAGACATGGAAAAGTGTGAGGTACAGAGCGGTGAACGAGGGGCGGTCAGGAGTGGTGTAGGAGGAGAGGATGGGGTAGACTTCCCGCATGAGGAATGGAGGGTCCAGGGAACTGCAGTGGGGGAGGGAACAGGGGTGCAGAGCGGTAAAGATGGAAAAGAATGAGGCACGGAGTGGTGTAGGAGGAGAGGACTGGGTAAACTGCCCGCATGAGGAAGGAAGGGTCCAGGGAACTGCGGTGAGGGGGTTGGAAGATAGGAAGGAGCAGGTGAAAAACAGTTGAGATGAAATGTGTCTGGTGAGGCGGAAAGGGTTGGGGGAAACAGGGGAATGAGGTGGGAGGGGTAAATGGGAGGTATGGGAGGGGTGGAAGGTGGGATAGAAAGGGTTTTGGAGAGGTAGAGAGCAGTGGAGAGCTCTCACTTGCATAGGCAGTGCCAGGAATGTGTGTTTTGAGTCGACTCAAAACACACAAGGTGAACATAGGTCAGGGTGAACCCCCTCCCGTGGCAGCTGGAGTAAAGGAGAGCGCAGAAGAGAGCTACAGAGGATTAGGGAGAGATCGAGAGCGGCAGAGAGCGGTGGAGAGTGGTGGAGAACGGTGCAGAGCTCTCACCTGTATAAGCAGAGCAGGAAGGTGCGAAGGTCAGGATGCACCCCCTCCCGTGGCAGCTGCAGCAGAGGAGACTGCAGGATAGAGCTAGATAGAGGTAGAGAGCGGTAGAGAGCAGTGGGTATGGTAAAGAGCTCTCACCTGTATAAGCAGTGCAGGAAGGTGCGAAGGTCAGGATGCACCCCTTCTCGTGGCAGCTGCAGCAGAGGAGACCGCAGTAGGGCAAAAGCCAGCCGCGGCAGCGCCTGCAGCTGCGGGCAGGCTGAGAAGGAGACATCGAGGCGAGTGACCGAGTGGGGCTGGTTGAACTGAGCTGGAGAGAGGCAGAGAGAAGTGGAGAGGGGTGGAGAGGGATGGGGAGCTCTCACGGTCTCACCTGTATAAGCAGTGCAGGAAGGTACGCAGGTCAGGATGCACCCCTTCTCGTGGCAGCTGCAGCAGCGGAGACCGCAGGAGGGCGAAAGCCAGCCGCGGCAGAGGCTGCAGCTGCGGGCAGGCTGAGAAGGAGACGTCGAGGCGAGTGACCGAGTGGGGCTGGTTGAACTGGGCGAGGCCGAAGGCGTGGTTGTAGTGGGCCGTGAGAATGACCAGCCAGTCCTGCAGGAGCAGCCGGCCTTCCCTCACCCCTTCTTCTAGAGACGCTCTGATGACCTGAAGGGATGAGGAGAGAAGGAGAAGTAGAGAGGCAAGAAGCTGGTTGAACTGGACGAGGCCGAAGGCGTGGTTGTAGTGGGCCGTGAGAATGACCAGCCAGTCCTGCAGGAGCAGCCGGCCTTCCCTCACCCCTTCTTCTAGAGACGCTCGGATGACCTGAAGGGATGAGGAGAGAAGGAGAAGTAGAGAGGCAAGAAGCTGGTTGAACTGGGCGAGGCCGAAGGCGTGGTTGTAGTGGGCCGTGAGAATGACCAGCCAGTCCTGCAGGAGCAGCCGGCCTTCCCTCACCCCTTCTTCTAGAGACGCTCGGATGACCTGAAGGGATGAGGAGAGAAGGAGAAGTAGAGAGGCAAGAAGCTGGTTGAACTGGGCGAGGCCGAAGGCGTGGTTGTAGTGGGCCGTGAGAATGACCAGCCAGTCCTGCAGGAGCAGCCGGCCTTCCCTCACCCCTTCTTCTAGAGACGCTCTGATGACCTGAAGGGATGAGGAGAGAAGGAGAAGTAGAGAGGCAAGAAGCTGGTTGAACTGGACGAGGCCGAAGGCGTGGTTGTAGTGGGCCGTGAGAATGACCAGCCAGTCCTGCAGGAGCAGCCGGCCTTCCCTCACCCCTTCTTCTAGAGACGCTCTGATGACCTGAAGGGATGAGGAGAGAAGGAGAAGTAGAGAGGCAAGAAGCTGGTTGAACTGGACGAGGCCGAAGGCGTGGTTGTAGTGGGCCGTGAGAATGACCAGCCAGTCCTGCAGGAGCAGCCGGCCTTCCCTCACCCCTTCTTCTAGAGACGCTCGGATGACCTGAAGGGATGAGGAGAGAAGGAGAAGTAGAGAGGCAAGAAGCTGGTTGAACTGGGCGAGGCCGAAGGCGTGGTTGTAGTGGGCCGTGAGAATGACCAGCCAGTCCTGCAGGAGCAGCCGGCCTTCCCTCACCCCTTCTTCTAGAGACGCTCTGATGACCTGAAGGGATGAGGAGAGAAGGAGAAGTAGAGAGGCAAGAAGCTGGTTGAACTGGGCGAGGCCGAAGGCGTGGTTGTAGTGGGCCGTGAGAATGACCAGCCAGTCCTGCAGGAGCAGCCGGCCTTCCCTCACCCCTTCTTCTAGAGACGCTCGGATGACCTGAAGGGATGAGGAGAGAAGGAGAAGTAGAGAGGCAAGAAGCTGGTTGAACTGGGCGAGGCCGAAGGCGTGGTTGTAGTGGGCCGTGAGAATGACCAGCCAGTCCTGCAGGAGCAGCCGGCCTTCCCTCACCCCTTCTTCTAGAGACGCTCGGATGACCTGAAGGGATGAGGAGAGAAGGAGAAGTAGAGAGGCAAGAAGCTGGTTGAACAGGGCGAGGCCGAAGGCGTGGTTGTAGTGGGCCGTGAGAATGACCAGCCAGTCATGCAGGAGGAGGCGACCCTCCCTCACCTCATGCCTTCCTCCAGGGATGCCTGGATGATCTGTGTGTGTGGGGTGGGGAGAGAGAGCGGAGGGAACGAGAGGAAGAGGGTGAGAGGGGAGCAGCAGAGCAGTGATGATGACCAGCCAGTCCTGTAGGAGCAGAGCAGCCAGACCTCCCCCACACCCTACTCTAGTAACGGACGTACTCCGATCCGATAGAACACGAGCGGACTCTACTCTAGTAGGAGCAGAGCAGCCCGCCCTCCCCCACACCCTACTCTAGTAAAGGACGTACTCCGATCCGATAGAACATGAGCGGACTCTACTCTAGTAGGAGCAGAGCAGCCCGCCCTCCCCCACACCCTACTCTAGTAACGGACGTACTCCGATCCGATAGAAAACGAGCAGACTCACCGTGTGCGTGAGAACAGTGAGAATGGCGTCGTTATCAGCAGACTCATAAATCTCCCTCGCCCCCCTCGCCCCCCTCGCCCCCCTCGCCCCCCTCGCCCCCCTCGCCCCCCTTGCCCCCCTTGCCCTTGCCCCCCTTGCCCCCCTTGCCCCCCTTGCCCTTGCCCCCCTTGCCCTTGCCCCCCTTGCCCCCCTTGCCCTTGCCACGTCCAGTCTAGTCTAGCGATGCGACTAGACGAAGAGAAGAGAGGACTCACCTTGTGTGTGAGAACAGTGAGAATAGCCTCGTTATCAGCAGACTCGTAAATCTCCCTCGCCCCTTGTGCCACGTCCACACATATCGTCTTCACTCTCAGCCGCCGCCTCAGCACCACCCCCCTCCTTCTCCCACCCTTCCTCCCACTGCTGTTGCTGTTGCTCCCCACCCCACCTCCTTCCCTACCTGTCCCTCCTCCCCCTTCCCCCTCCTTCTCCCCCACATTCTCCCCTCCTCCTTCCTTCCCCTTTCCTCCCTCCATCCCACCACCAGCAGTCCCATTCACACCAGTTGCAGCCCCATCCGCGTTACTAGCCGCCCCATTACCCGCCTCACCCCCCTCGCCCCTCTCCCCTCCCCCTTCCACCGGAATAATCACTGTATACTGAAACGCCAGCTGTAACACTGCCCCCCGGTTACCACCACCACCGCTCCCGCCCTTCTCTCTCCCACCCCTGCCCTTCGCTCCAAACCCAGCCTTCCCGGCAAATTCCAAGTCGAATGCGTACGAATCAAATGGATCACATCTAATGATATGATATAGATTCTCATACTGTGCATCGGGAAAGAAGTGCCCGTAGGCTCGGACGGCCCGAAGCTCCCGGGAGGTTCGGAGCCGGAGCACCCCGCCGAACGCGGAGGGTCGGCAGAGCATGCGGTAGATGTCTTGTGGGAGGGTAGCCTCGTCTAAAGAAGGGTAAAGAAAAAGAGTACCCCCGCTTTCCACACTTAGGCAACGGAGGGAGGCTAGGTCACAGTATGGGACGGGCAGGGAGGGAGGGGCGGAGGGAAGAGGGTCGGCGATAGTCACAGCAGCAACCCCAGCAGCAGCAGCAGCAGAAGCAGAAGCAGGATCTGCAGTTGCCGCACCCCCTTCCTCTCTACTAGCATCTCCATCCCCGTTACTAGCATAACTCGGTACAGCAAACAAATCCACACACACCCCTGCTTGCACAGCAGCCGCAGCCAGCTCTCTATAGAACGGCGTCTGCTCCTGTAGCAATCCCTTATCCGCTACAACCGGGTCTGCTACATCCTTGGCGCTCCTGCTTCTCTGACTCGCCGCTACAGCCAGGCTCGCGAGCGCTGTATCGTACCGAACCGTACTCAACGCCCCCATACCATGGTTCGGGGCTCCAGAGAGAAAAACCAGTAATCTGGCCCCTACAAACGGCCCTACTTCCCCTGCGGCCGCTGCTGCCGCTGCTGCTGCGGCAATACTCACGTTACCCCCGCCACTGCCACTGGTACTGATGACGTCAGCTCGGAGCCCTCTGGCTATTCTAGCACTTGGCCCATCCTCCATACCCCCGAGATACCTAATTAAAGCGTCTAAAGCCGTTCCAAATCCCCTAACCCCGTCCCTCCTCCCCGTTCTCTCCGCGTCCTTTCCCCCCTTCCCCGCTCCGCCCTTTCCCCCCGCGCCTTGCGCCGCTCCCCCCTTCCCCCCGCCGCTCTTCCCCCCCCAGACGCGTCCAAATCAAGGGGGGGAGGGTCAGGACGAAGCGTTTCGAGGGCGGCAGCGGCGTGGTCTTTGTGGCGCGAGAGGGACGCGAGGAAGGCGGGGAGAGGCAGGAGGTCGCCCAGGGCTAGGGGTAAGCGTTGAGCAGAGGAGGCGGGGATGGCGACGGATTTCACTGCTGCTACGGGCCCCTGCAGGTCGTACAGACCGACCTGTGGGAGGAAGGGCGGAATGGGGAGTGGTGGGGAGGGGTGGGGAGAAGTAGGGAGTGAGTGCAGCGGTAGGAGGTCGCCCAGGGCTAGGGGTAGGCGGTGGGAGGGGGAGGCGGGGATGGCGACGGATTTCACTGCTGCTACGGGCCCCTGTAGATCGTACAGACCGACCTGGTAAAGAGGGGGGGTGAGTAGTTGGGAGGGGTGGGGAGCGGTGGAGAGGGTTGTAAGGGCAGGCGGGAATGGCGACGGATTTCACTGCTGCTACCGGCTCCTGCAGGTCGTACAGACCGACCTGGTAGGGTTGGGGGGAGTAGAAAGGGGTAGGGAGGAGTAGGGAGGGGTAGGGGGTGAGTGCAGCGCAGAGGCAGGAGGTCGCCCAGGGCTAGGGGCAGGCGGTGGGAGGGCGAGGCGGGGATGGCGACGGATTTCACTGCTGCTACGGGGCCTTGCAGATTGTACAGACCGACCTGGTAGGAGGGGAAGGGGCGGATTGGGGAGTGGTGGGGAGGGGTGGGGTGGAGTAGGGGGTGAGTGCAGCGGTAGGAGGTCGCCCAGGGCTAGGGGCAGGCGGTGGGAGGGGGATGCGGGGATGGCGACGGATTTCACTGCTGCTACGGGGCCCTGCAGGTCGTACAGACCGACTTGGTGGGTCTGTACGACCGTGAAGCGCTCACCTTGCTTCCGAATGTAACCAGCCCGAACAGTGCAGCAGGCGAAAGTGCTTCTAAGGCGGCCAGCAGCGAGCTCTTAACGAGTTCCAGAAACTCCTCTGAGCCTGACACGTCAACCATGGCGATGTACACTGGCCGCTTGCGAATCTCCGTTTCGTCCAACACGTGGCAGCTGCTGATTGGCTCTCCCAACCCGTGGGGAATCGAACCCGCGACCTCTCCGTCGCCCTGCGATTCTCCTTGTTCGAATTCCACTTCGTCAGCGTCGCCCTCCGCGGCAACGTCCAGCTCGACGAGCGTGTGCGACAGCTCTGCGACGTCTGCGACGTTCGATCCGCCGTAACGACGCAGCTCCGCGTCGCTGAACGGATTCACGACGTCGCACAGCGAGCACTGCCAGGAAAACCGATCGATCGCACAGTACGGATTGATATACGCGTAGCAATCCTCGCATCTCGCCACGTCATCGGCCAGCGGAAGCGGCGCGGGGGAAAGCGCAGCGGGAAGCGGTTGCAGAGCTGTGGCACCAGACGCGGAATTAAGAGACGACGACGAGCCGAAGCGCGGGAAAGAGGAATTAGAAGACGATTTTCGAATGCTGCTTCCGCCGGTGCCGACGCTAGCCGCGACGCCGCTTCCCGGGATTCCCGCTTCGTCATCCAGAGCGAATGGTTGGACGACGCAACCCCACGGGAGACCCGTCGCGTCGCGCGACTCCGGATCTAACGGAAACTTGTTCACCGTGAAACGAATGGCCATTGCGAAGACTGGCAACAAAAATTTCCGCGATTTGGTAATCTGGTTACCGGATTGGAACGGATACCGGAATGTTCGCGACTGCTAGCCTGACCAGGCGAAAACGTCCTACTTTAGAAAACGATGGGTCAGCCACGGCATTGGCTACGCTACGAGAAAACAATAGGAACGAGCAAGGCGAGCTTCAGCTGATCATTGGAACGGTAATGACGTGAAGTTTACAACATGGATTATTCAAGGAGCTGAAGTAGTACCAAGTGATGAGTAAATTTTAGGTTCGTGATGTTCAGGATCGATCAGAACTGCAACGAGAGCGCACACTAGAAGATCTGTCCTGCACAGCAACAGAGGCTCCTAATTCAGTTGTTCCTACTCTCCTCGCCGGTTTCCCAGGTTTTCCAACGAATCTCGGATTCCTGATCATATCGAAGGAATTTCTGCTGATCGTCGAGCCCGCACCATGCTATACCGCACTGCATCCCAATGAGAGTGATGGCATCGTGCACAACCACTCTAAAAGTTCGGAATTTGCTGCCTTTTCCGAACCAAAGAACTGAACTGCCATCCTGGTCCCGCCAAATCAGCCATCAAGAGAGTCGTTCAGGCCCACAAGACCCAACCCCAAGGGATCCCTCAAAACAAGCAAGCGTGCCAAAATACGAGAGCGTAATGTTAAGGTTCTGCCGGGATTTGAACCCAGGTTGCTGGATTCAAAGTCCAGAGTGCTAACCACTGCACCACAGAACCGATGTTGGTGAAATTACAAAACAAATTGTATAAAGGGGCCTTGTTTATCCAGGCCGTTACTGTGCTTGTTCTTACGGCTATGGCGTACCTCGGAACTACGTCAGCGGGGCTTGAATTCGCGCTACGAGATGAGGTGAGAGCCGCGCAAAGCACGGGTTTCTTGTTCGAACCGCACCAGCGAAGGTTGCCGTTACAGGCCCCCCTGCCACTGACTTAGAAGGCAGTCTTTGCAGTTCGATCCACGTTTTCCCGTCGAGCGCGAGTACCCTTCAATCACCCGAGTCGCCTTTTCTCTTGGAGTGTTCCAGTAATGTAGATCGGGGAAGCCGTCTCGCAATGCGCGCTGCTCAAGGAGAGCTGCTACTAGTAGTATTCTTCCCGCCGTGATTGCTCCCTGCCCTACCGCTCACAGGAAGACAAACCCTGAAATCCCGAATAATGCCTTCACTACCCGCCACACCCTTTCAAACTCCTCTTCGCGCCCCTTCTTCCCCCGGAATTTGCCGTGCCAGCTGGCTGCCAGGCTGGCGGGGAGGGTGTCTGACGTCAGCACGGTGCATGGCGGGGTGAGGTTCACCACAGACGCTGCTGCTGAGGTGGGTGCGCGAAGTTTCCCAGAAAGAGCGTGTGGTGATGACATGAAGAGGATACGTGGAGAGTGAAGAGGGAAGGGAGGAAGAGGAGGGGAATTGCATGCATGAAACCTTACTCCCTGAATCTCAAACCTTGAGTCTTAAACCCTTAACCCTAATCTAAATCCCTGGTTCTTACACCCTGATTCTTGAACGCTAATTGTTAAACCTGAGCCCTACTGTGTCTCTTTCCTGATCCTGCTTTGTTTTTTTTTCCACTGATCGCAGGAGCTGCAGCAGTTGAGGGCGGCGGACAACCTGTACGCGTTTGTAGCCTCAAGGGAGGTGTGTTATACGATGTTTTTTCAGACGTTATTCAAATTGAGCTGAGAGCGGTGGGCAACCCGTACGCGTTTGTAGCTTTAAGAGAGGTGCGTCATACGCCCGAGAAATGTGTTTACTGCTCCTGCCTTAACCAACTGACCAAAAAAATCAGAAACAATTATTCCTTGCGCCACCGCATCCCTGCTCTGCTGCTTGACCAATCAGGACGTGCCACATGGCAAGGAGGCCATTGACTACCTGACAGCACTGCCAGCTCAGGTAGGATTTGCTGCTGTGCCAACTTTTCATTGGTTGTGCATTGCCAGCTCAGCAATGCCAACTCAGCAATGCCAGACCAGAAAAGCAGCTCAGCATTGGCATGCCATGACTGATCTACTATGTGCTCGATTGTTTCCCTTTTTATTCCCACACGGCCTATCCTCACCTGCCACGTCAGCAGATAGACTGGCAGCCAGCCCTCTCGCTCTTCCACCAATGGCAGCAGCGCAGGGAGGATGGGATGACGTCAGCAGCAGGCGAGAACAGACAGGAGCTGACGTCATCAGTGGAGGGGCCTGAAAAATCACCTGAGAGGAAGAGGCTGAGGCAGGAGGGAGAGGATGCGGGGGTGGTAACACCTGGGGCAACAGACACTGCTGTTGTGACACCACCTGAAGGAGCACCTGGGGGAACACCTGAAGCAGCACCTGGGGGAACACCTGAAGCAGCACCTGGGGGAACACCTGAAGGAGCGCCTGAGGGAATGCGTGAGGGAGGCAAGGCAGCGGTGGCGGCAGCAGAGGCAGCAGCTGGAGGAGCAGCAGAGAGGCAGGGTTCCAGTGGGCTGCAGTTTAGAGTGACGTGTCACCGAGTGTGTATGAAGCAGACAAAACACGGGTTCTCCTCCCCTGAAGCTGCTGGTATGTCCTCGTTATAAGCATGTATGCACATAAGTGCATGTGTGTATGAAGCAGACTAAACACGGGTTCTCCTCCCCTGAAGCTGCTGGTATGTCCTCATTATAAGCATGTATGCACATAAGTGCATGTGTATATGAAGCAGGCTAAACACGGCTTCTCCTCCCCTGAAGCTGCTGGTATGAGTTTCGAACCTTTCAGGGCTCACACTCATAGTGTGCCCTTACAAAGGCCAGTTATGAGTGACCTGCCATCGTGTGTGCATGAATGAAGCAGAGCAAACACGGCTTCTCCTCCCCTGAAGCTGCTGGTATGAGTTTCGAACCTTTCAGGGCTCACACTCATAGTGTGCCCTTACAAAGGCCAGTTATGAGTGACCTGCCATCGTGTGTGCATGAATGAAGCAGAGCAAACACGGCTTCTCCTTCCCTGAAGCTGCTGGTATGTGTTTTGAGAGCCCGGGTACGGGCTCTCTTCCCCTCAAGGCTCACTCACTTACTTGGTAGGTAACACCAACAGTCCACCCGTATCGTTGTCACACATGCTATGAGTCGCCAGGGAAGACCGACAGCCCGCATCTGCACTTGCTCACGCATCTGCTCTGCATGTGCGTCCGCATCTTTGTTTTTTAGAATTCCCAAAAAACAGAATCTGCATGTGCTCTGCATCCACATCCGCATCTGCACTTTCTCTCTCAGGCGCCTTGGGCGAGGGCCTTTTGGGAATCTTCCCGTCCTGGACTGTCAGCCTTCGCCAGTTTGAGTGTAAGTGCGTGCGCCAGCCAGGCAGCTATCTTATATGTTAATTTTGGTCCAACTAAGAGCGAGCTTGTTTTCAGATGCCTTAAACCACAAATGACACAGTCTTCTGAGCCTCTCTTCTCATCTCCTCTCCTCCTCTCCTCTCCTCTCCTCTCCTCTCCTCTCCTCTCCTCTCCTCTCCTCTCCTCTCCTCTCCTCTCCTCTCCTCTCCTCTCCTCTCCTCTCCTCTCCTCTCCTCTCCTCTCCTCTCCTCTCCTCTCCTCTCCTCTCTCCTCGCCCCTCGCCCCTCTCCACTCTCCTCTCCTCGCCCCTCTCCCCTCTACCACATTTACCCTCTTCCCAGTGGACGTGCTAGCATGGATCCGGGACTCCCATCCCACTCTGCTCATCGCACTCTCCCTCTCCTCTCCTCCCAGTGGACGTGCTAGCATGGATCCGGGACTCCCATCCCACTCTGCTCATCTCACTCTCCCTCTCCTCTCCTCCCAGTGGACGTGCTAGCATGGATCCGGGACTCCCATCCCACTCTGCTCATCGCACTCTCCCTCTCCTCTCCTCCCAGTGGACGTGCTAGCATGGATCCGGGACTCCAGTCTCACACTGCTCGTCTCACTCATCTACGCGTGAGAGTTCCTTCCTTTCCCACTCCTGCTTTTTTCATCTACTTCTCCCTTTCTCCTACATTCCTCTTCCTGCTCCTCCTCCTCCCTCCCATCTCACACTGCGTGAGAGTTCATTCATCTCCTGCTCCTCCTCCTCCTCCTACATTCATCTTCCTGCTCCTCCTCCTCCCTCCCATCGCACACTGCTCGTCTCACTCATCCACGTGTGAGAGTCCTTCCCTTTCCTACCCCTGCTTTCTTCATCTACTTCTCCCCTACTCTTACATTCCCCGTTACCCCTGCCGCTCAATCTCAATCCCTCCTCCCCTCATCCTCTCAACTCTCGCTGCTCGTCGCACTCATCTACGCGTGAGAGCCTCCCCTTTTCTTGCCTCTCCTGCTTGCTGTTCAACGTATCATCACATCACACTCTCATCTACTCCTCAGACTCAGTTTTGACTTGTCAGTGTGATCACATAGCTTGTCAGTTTTGACTGCGTAATGTATCTTGTCGTATGTATTCAATTGTTGCTTGCAGGGACTCCCCGAAGGCAAACGAAGAGAGGTCAACAGAGCAACAGAAGGAGCAATCCAAGGAGCAACAGGCGGAGCAACCCAAGGAGCAACGGAAAGAGCAACCCAAGGAGCAACAGACGGAGCGATTGAGGGAGCATGAGGCGGGGCAGGCCAATGGAGGCAGCAAGCATGTGGGCAAGGGCGACAGCAGCAGGGAGGGCAAGAAGAACACGGGGAGGGCAGTTCAAGCGAGGTCACACAACGCAGAGAGACAGGTGGGTGGGTGGGTGGGGGCCAGGTAGGTTTGGGGTTTAGTTTGAGCCGCACTGCAGTCTGGGAGGCAGCAATTGATGCAGCATGAGGCGGGGCAGGCCAAGGGATCAAGGGAGGCAGCAAGCATGTGGGCAAGGGCGACAGCAGCAGGGAGGGCAAGAAGAATGCGGGGAGGGCAGTTCAAGCGAGATCACACAACGCAGAGAGACAGGTGGGTGGGTGGGTGGGGGCCAGGTGGGTGGGTGGGATAAAGATGGTGCTTCTGCTGCTGCTATTCAACTCACCAGTCTTCCTCCTCCCCTCCTCTTCCCCAACCCCTAGCTCTACGCCGCCTATCACAATGCCCTATCACAATGCCCTATCACAAGGCCCTATCACAAGGCCCTTATTGTTCCCATGTCAACCCTTCCCCCTCCCCTTCCCCTACTCATTCTCCCCCAGTTACCTTCCCCCTCACCAACCATTCTCCCCCAGTTACCTTCCCCCTCACCAACCATTCTCCCCCAGTTACCTTCCCCCTCACCAACCATTCTCCCCCAGTTACCTTCCCCCTCACCAACCATTCTCCCCCAGTTACCTTCCCCCTCACCAACCATTCTCCCCCAGTTACCTTCCCCCTCACCAACCATTCTCCCCCAGTTACCTTCCCCCTCACCAACCATTCTCCCCCAGTTACCTTCCCCCTCACCAACCATTCTCCCCCAGTTACCTTCCCCCTCACCAACCATTCTCCCCCAGTTACCTTCCCCCTCACCAACCATTCTCCCCCAGTTACCTTCCCCCTCACCAACCATTCTCCCCCAGTTACCTTCCCCCTCACCAACCATTCTCCCCCAGTTACCTTCCCCCTCACCAACCATTCTCCCCCAGTTACCTTCCCCCTCACCAACCATTCTCCCCCAGTTACCTTCCCCCTCACCAACCATTCTCCCCCAGTTACCTTCCCCCTCACCAACCATTCTCCCCCAGTTACCTTCCCCCTCACCAACCATTCTCCCCCAGTTACCTTCCCCCTCACCAACCATTCTCCCCCAGTTACCTTCCCCCTCACCAACCATTCTCCCCCAGTTACCTTCCCCCTCACCAACCATTCTCCCCCAGTTACCTTCCCCCTCACCAACCATTCTCCCCCAGTTACCTTCCCCCTCACCAACCATTCTCCCCCAGTTACCTTCCCCCTCACCAACCATTCTCCCCCAGTTACCTTCCCCCTCACCAACCATTCTCCCCCAGTTACCTTCCCCCTCACCAACCATTCTCCCCCAGTTACCTTCCCCCTCACCAACCATTCTCCCCCAGTTACCTTCCCCCTCACCAACCATTCTCCCCCAGTTACCTTCCCCCTCACCAACCATTCTCCCCCAGTTACCTTCCCCCTCACCAACCATTCTCCCCCAGTTACCTTCCCCCTCACCAACCATTCTCCCCCAGTTACCTTCCCCCTCACCAACCATTCTCCCCCAGTTACCTTCCCCCTCACCAACCATTCTCCCCCAGTTACCTTCCCCCTCACCAACCATTCTCCCCCAGTTACCTTCCCCCTCACCAACCATTCTCCCCCAGTTACCTTCCCCCTCACCAACCATTCTCCCCCAGTTACCTTCCCCCTCACCAACCATTCTCCCCCAGTTACCTTCCCCCTCACCAACCATTCTCCCCCAGTTACCTTCCCCCTCACCAACCATTCTCCCCCAGTTACCTTCCCCCTCACCAACCATTCTCCCCCAGTTACCTTCCCCCTCACCAACCATTCTCCCCCAGTTACCTTCCCCCTCACCAACCATTCTCCCCCAGTTACCTTCCCCCTCACCAACCATTCTCCCCCAGTTACCTTCCCCCTCACCAACCATTCTCCCCCAGTTACCTTCCCCCTCACCAACCATTCTCCCCCAGTTACCTTCCCCCTCACCAACCATTCTCCCCCAGTTACCTTCCCCCTCACCAACCATTCTCCCCCAGTTACCTTCCCCCTCACCAACCATTCTCCCCCAGTTACCTTCCCCCTCACCAACCATTCTCCCCCAGTTACCTTCCCCCTCACCAACCATTCTCCCCCAGTTACCTTCCCCCTCACCAACCATTCTCCCCCAGTTACCTTCCCCCTCACCAACCATTCTCCCCCAGTTACCTTCCCCCTCACCAACCATTCTCCCCCAGTTACCTTCCCCCTCACCAACCATTCTCCCCCAGTTACCTTCCCCCTCACCAACCATTCTCCCCCAGTTACCTTCCCCCTCACCAACCATTCTCCCCCAGTTACCTTCCCCCTCACCAACCATTCTCCCCCAGTTACCTTCCCCCTCACCAACCATTCTCCCCCAGTTACCTTCCCCCTCACCAACCATTCTCCCCCAGTTACCTTCCCCCTCACCAACCATTCTCCCCCAGTTACCTTCCCCCTCACCAACCATTCTCCCCCAGTTACCTTCCCCTCACCAACCATTCTCCCCCAGTTACCTTCCCCCTCACCAACCATTCTCCCCCAGTTACCTTCCCCCTCACCAACCATTCTCCCCCAGTTACCTTCCCCCTCACCAACCATTCTCCCCCAGTTACCTTCCCCCTCACCAACCATTCTCCCCCAGTTACCTTCCCCCTCACCAACCATTCTCCCCCAGTTACCTTCCCCCTCACCAACCATTCTCCCCCAGTTACCTTCCCCCTCACCAACCATTCTCCCCCAGTTACCTTCCCCCTCACCAACCATTCTCCCCCAGTTACCTTCCCCCTCACCAACCATTCTCCCCCAGTTACCTTCCCCCTCACCAACCATTCTCCCCCAGTTACCTTCCCCCTCACCAACCATTCTCCCCCAGTTACCTTCCCCCTCACCAACCATTCTCCCCCAGTTACCTTCCCCCTCACCAACCATTCTCCCCCAGTTACCTTCCCCCTCACCAACCATTCTCCCCCAGTTACCTTCCCCCTCACCAACCATTCTCCCCCAGTTACCTTCCCCCTCACCAACCATTCTCCCCCAGTTACCTTCCCCCTCACCAACCATTCTCCCCCAGTTACCTTCCCCCTCACCAACCATTCTCCCCCAGTTACCTTCCCCCTCACCAACCATTCTCCCCCAGTTACCTTCCCCCTCACCAACCATTCTCCCCCAGTTACCTTCCCCCTCACCAACCATTCTCCCCCAGTTACCTTCCCCCTCACCAACCATTCTCCCCCAGTTACCTTCCCCCTCACCAACCATTCTCCCCCAGTTACCTTCCCCCTCACCAACCATTCTCCCCCAGTTACCTTCCCCCTCACCAACCATTCTCCCCCAGTTACCTTCCCCCTCACCAACCATTCTCCCCCAGTTACCTTCCCCCTCACCAACCATTCTCCCCCAGTTACCTTCCCCCTCACCAACCATTCTCCCCCAGTTACCTTCCCCCTCACCAACCATTCTCCCCCAGTTACCTTCCCCCTCACCAACCATTCTCCCCCAGTTACCTTCCCCCTCACCAACCATTCTCCCCCAGTTACCTTCCCCCTCACCAACCATTCTCCCCCAGTTACCTTCCCCCTCACCAACCATTCTCCCCCAGTTACCTTCCCCCTCACCAACCATTCTCCCCCAGTTACCTTCCCCCTCACCAACCATTCTCCCCCAGTTACCTTCCCCCTCACCAACCATTCTCCCCCAGTTACCTTCCCCCTCACCAACCATTCTCCCCCAGTTACCTTCCCCCTCACCAACCATTCTCCCCCAGTTACCTTCCCCCTCACCAACCATTCTCCCCCAGTTACCTTCCCCCTCACCAACCATTCTCCCCCAGTTACCTTCCCCCCCCAACCATTCTCCCCCAGTTACCTTCCCCCTCACCAACCATTCTCCCCCAGTTACCTTCCCCCTCACCAACCATTCTCCCCCAGTTACCTTCCCCCTCACCAACCATTCTCCCCCAGTTACCTTCCCCCTCACCAACCATTCTCCCCCAGTTACCTTCCCCCTCACCAACCATTCTCCCCCAGTTACCTTCCCCCTCACCAACCATTCTCCCCCAGTTACCTTCCCCCTCACCAACCATTCTCCCCCAGTTACCTTCCCCCTCACCAACCATTCTCCCCCAGTTACCTTCCCCCTCACCAACCATTCTCCCCCAGTTACCTTCCCCCTCACCAACCATTCTCCCCCAGTTACCTTCCCCCTCACCAACCATTCTCCCCCAGTTACCTTCCCCCTCACCAACCATTCTCCCCCAGTTACCTTCCCCCTCACCAACCATTCTCCCCCAGTTACCTTCCCCCTCACCAACCATTCTCCCCCAGTTACCTTCCCCCTCACCAACCATTCTCCCCCAGTTACCTTCCCCCTCACCAACCATTCTCCCCCAGTTACCTTCCCCCTCACCAACCATTCTCCCCCAGTTACCTTCCCCCTCACCAACCATTCTCCCCCAGTTACCTTCCCCCTCACCAACCATTCTCCCCCAGTTACCTTCCCCCTCACCAACCATTCTCCCCCAGTTACCTTCCCCCTCACCAACCATTCTCCCCCAGTTACCTTCCCCCTCACCAACCATTCTCCCCCAGTTACCTTCCCCCTCACCAACCATTCTCCCCCAGTTACCTTCCCCCTCACCAACCATTCTCCCCCAGTTACCTTCCCCCTCACCAACCATTCTCCCCCAGTTACCTTCCCCCTCACCAACCATTCTCCCCCAGTTACCTTCCCCCTCACCAACCATTCTCCCCCAGTTACCTTCCCCCTCACCAACCATTCTCCCCCAGTTACCTTCCCCCTCACCAACCATTCTCCCCCAGTTACCTTCCCCCTCACCAACCATTCTCCCCCAGTTACCTTCCCCCTCACCAACCATTCTCCCCCAGTTACCTTCCCCCTCACCAACCATTCTCCCCCAGTTACCTTCCCCCTCACCAACCATTCTCCCCCAGTTACCTTCCCCCTCACCAACCATTCTCCCCCAGTTACCTTCCCCCTCACCAACCATTCTCCCCCAGTTACCTTCCCCCTCACCAACCATTCTCCCCCAGTTACCTTCCCCCTCACCAACCATTCTCCCCCAGTTACCTTCCCCCTCACCAACCATTCTCCCCCAGTTACCTTCCCCCTCACCAACCATTCTCCCCCAGTTACCTTCCCCCTCACCAACCATTCTCCCCCAGTTACCTTCCCCCTCACCAACCATTCTCCCCCAGTTACCTTCCCCCTCACCAACCATTCTCCCCCAGTTACCTTCCCCCTCACCAACCATTCTCCCCCAGTTACCTTCCCCCTCACCAACCATTCTCCCCCAGTTACCTTCCCCCTCACCAACCATTCTCCCCCAGTTACCTTCCCCCTCACCAACCATTCTCCCCCAGTTACCTTCCCCCTCACCAACCATTCTCCCCCAGTTACCTTCCCCCTCACCAACCATTCTCCCCCTCCCCCTTCCGCAACCCCTCCCCCCTCTCCCCCATCCCCCAGCTCTACTCCTCTCGCACCTACCGCAAGGCCCTCGTCCCCACGTCCCTCAAGCCCAGGTGGGTCCATCTCTTGCCAGTTGCAACCCCACTGCGTGCCATAGTACGTCTGACAGCCTCGCATGAGACACCCCTCTGCATCCCCTCAGCTCTACTCCTCTCGCATCTACCGCAAGGCCCTCGTCCCCACGTCCCTCAAGCCCAGGTGGGTCCATCTCTTGCCAGTTGCAACCCCACTGCGTGCCATAGTACGTCTGACAGCCTCGCATGAGACACCCCTCTGCATCCCCTCAGCTCTACTCCTCTCGCATCTACCGCAAGGCCCTCGTCCCCACGTACCTCAAGCCTGGCCCGCATTCCCACAATCACCACCTGTTGCATTCCCACAATCACCACCTGTTGCATTCCCACAATCACCACCTGTTGCATTCCCACAATCACCACCTGTTGCATTCCCACAATCACCACCTGTTGCATTCCCACAATCACCACCTGTTGCATTCCCACAATCACCACCTGTTGCATTCCCACAATCACCACCTGTTGCATTCCCACAATCACCACCTGTTGCATTCCCACAATCACCACCTGTTGCATTCCCACAATCACCACCTGTTGCATTCCCACAATCACCACCTGTTGCATTCCCACAATCACCACCTGTTGCATTCCCACAATCACCACCTGTTGCATTCCCACAATCACCACCTGTTGCATTCCCACAATCACCACCTGTTGCATTCCCACAATACCACCTGTTGCATTCCCACAATCACCACCTGTTGCATTCCCACAATCACCACCTGTTGCATTCCCACAATCACCACCTGTTGCATTCCCACAATCACCACCTGTTGCATTCCCACAATCACCACCTGTTGCATTCCCACAATCACCACCTGTTGCATTCCCACAATCACCACCTGTTGCATTCCCACAATCACCACCTGTTGCATTCCCACAATCACCACCTGTTGCATTCCCACAATCACCACCTGTTGCATTCCAACAATCACCACCTGTTGCATTCCCACAATCACCACCTGTTGCATTCCCACAATCACCACCTGTTGCATTCCCACAATCACCACCTGTTGCATTCCCACAATCACCACCTGTTGCATTCCCACAATCACCACCTGTTGCATTCCCACAATCACCACCTGTTGCATTCCCACAATCACCACCTGTTGCATTCCCACAATCACCACCTGTTGCATTCCCACAATCACCACCTGTTGCATTCCCACAATCACCACCTGTTGCATTCCCACAATCACCACCTGTTGCATTCCCACAATCACCACCTGTTGCATTCCCACAATCACCACCTGTTGCATTCCCACAATCACCACCTGTTGCATTCCCACAATCACCACCTGTTGCATTCCCACAATCACCACCTGTTGCATTCCCACAATCACCACCTGTTGCATTCCCACAATCACCACCTGTTGCATTCCCACAATCACCACCTGTTGCATTCCCACAATCACCACCTGTTGCATTCCCACAATCACCACCTGTTGCATTCCCACAATCACCACCTGTTGCATTCCCACAATCACCACCTGTTGCATTCCCACAATCACCACCTGTTGCATTCCCACAATCACCACCTGTTGCATTCCCACAATCACCACCTGTTGCATTCCCACAATCACCACCTGTTGCATTCCCACAATCACCACCTGTTGCATTCCCACAATCACCACCTGTTGCATTCCCACAATCACCACCTGTTGCATTCCCACAATCACCACCTGTTGCATTCCCACAATCACCACCTGTTGCATTCCCACAATCACCACCTGTTGCATTCCCACAATCACCACCTGTTGCATTCCCACAATCACCACCTGTTGCATTCCCACAATCACCACCTGTTGCATTCCCACAATCACCACCTGTTGCATTCCCACAATCACCACCTGTTGCATTCCCACAATCACCACCTGTTGCATTCCCACAATCACCACCTGTTGCATTCCCACAATCACCACCTGTTGCATTCCCACAATCACCACCTGTTGCATTCCCACAATACCACCTGTTGCATTCCCACAATCACCACCGGTTGCATTCCCACAATCACCACCTGTTGCATTCCCACAATCACCACCTGTTGCATTCCCACAATACCACCTGTTGCATTCCCACAATACCACCTGTTGCATTCCCACAATCACCACCTGTTGCATTCCCACATCACCACCTGTTGCATTCCCACAATCACCACCTGTTGCATTCCCACAATCACCACCTGTTGCATTCCCACAATACCACCTGTTGCATTCCCACAATACCACCTGTTGCATTCCCACAATCACCACCTGTTGCATTCCCACAATCACCACCTGTTGCATTCCCACAATCACCACCTGTTGCATTCCCACAATCACCACCTGTTGCATTCCCACAATCACCACCTGTTGCATTCCCACAATCACCACCTGTTGCATTCCCACAATCACCACCTGTTGCATTCCCACAATCACCACCTGTTGCATTCCCACAATACCACCTGTTGCATTCCCACAATACCACCTGTTGCATTCCCACAATCACCACCTGTTGCATTCCCACAATCACCACCTGTTGCATTCCCACAATCACCACCTGTTGCATTCCCACAATACCACCTGTTGCATTCCCACAATACCACCTGTTGCATTCCCACAATCACCACCTGTTGCATTCCCACAAACACCACCTGTTGAGGCATCTCGAATGCAGTCTTGTTATACCCGGTTTCGACTCGCCCCTCAACTCAAACCCAGGTTACGCATGTCTCCTCTCCCCCTCTGGTTATTCTTGAGGCGCCTCAAAAAACGACTTTTGAGGCGCCTCAAAAGGCATCTCAAATGCAGTCTTGTTATACCCGGTTTTGACTCGCCCCTCAACTCAAACCCAGGTTACGCATGTCTCCTCTCCCCCTCTGGTTATTCTTGAGGCGCCTCAAAAAACGACTTTTGAGGCGCCTCGAAAGTCAACTCAAACCCAGGTTACTCATGTCTCCTCTCCCCCTCCGGTTATTCTTTTTCAGCACGGCATTCGCCCTCCTGCAACTGGCGGACATCCACCCCGGCCACATCGTACTCGATCCCATGTGAGTGGGGCCTTGTACTCGTTATTGAGTTACAGTCACACTCGTTATAGACATCCTCATTGCAGGGAGCACAGCTCTCACAACAGGCAGCTCCTCCTCCTCCTCCTGTTGGCCTCCTCTCTCCTGCAACAGGCAGCTTTTTGGCTGCAGAGCCGTCTCACTGTCTAACCCCACCCCTCAGCGGCATGCACAGTGAGGGGACATCCCTGATGCTGTTCCCCTCAGGGAAACAAATCCCTGTGTGGGACACGGGTGCTGAGAATGTTGACACATGCACCGTCTCACCCCACCCCTCTGTACCGCGTTTCACCACACCAAACCCCTTCATTCAACCCCACCTTCAGGTGTGGCTGTGGGACTCTTCCTCTGGAGGCGGCTGATTGGTTGAAAAGCCGAGTCACTGCATTCAGAGGGGATAAAGATGCAGGTCTTGTTGAAGCATGAGCTCGTATCCTTCCATACCACGTCTCACCGCACTAAAGCCCTTTCTTCTTCCCCCCCCTTTTTCAGGTGCGGCTGTGGGACTTTCCCTCTCGAGGTTGCTGGTTGGTTGGAAAGCCGAGTTAGTGCCTTGGGGGGGATAAAGATGCTGGAGCTGTAGGTGCATGAGCTCATACCCCTCCGTACCGCATGTCACCGCATAGCACCACAAGAAACCCCTCCATTCAACCCTTTTTCAGGTGTGGCTGTGGAACTCTCCCTCTGGAGGCGGCTGATTGGTTGAAAAGCCGAGTCAGTGCATTTGGGGGGGATAAAGACACTGGGGCTGTTGATGCTGCTGCAACCAATAACATCGCCTTGAGAACCGCTGCTGCCAATAGCATCGCATTGAGAACCGCTGCAGCCAATAGCAGCACCTTGGGAATGGCTGCTGCGAATGGGGATGTAGCAAGGAAGAGCCAAGGGGGCCACGTGGCAGGCTGTGATTGGCTGGTCTGGGATGCCACTGCCCTGCCGCTGCGAACCGGCTGTGTGGATCGGGTGCTCTGTGACATGCCCTTCGGGGTGCGGTGTGGTGAGTGGTGGAAAGCGGTGACAAGTGGGCACAAAGAGGTGACAAGTGGTGAAAAAAGGTGTTAAGTGGTGGAGGTGTTTATTGCAGACTAGTTGTGTGGATCGGGTGCTCTGTGACGTGCCCTTTCAGTGTGAGATGTGGTGCGTGGTGAGAAGTGGTGACGAATGGTTATAAGAGGTGGTGGTGCTTTGCTGGGGTGTCCATGTGTGTATGTGCAGCTAAGCATTGGGGTAGTCTTCAGTTCAGACACCCCAACGATCCTTTTGCGGTTAGGTGTGCGGTCAGTGCGGTGCTGTGTGGTGCAGTACTGTGCGGTATGGTGATAGCAGGTGTGTTGGAAAGAGACAGACGGAAATCCCGAACTCCTTTAAGTCGTGGTTTCATTGGTGGTGTTGTGTTTGTCTTGTCCCGAGTTTTTAGTCCTTCGAAATAGTTGATTGACTTATCCTAACCCCGACCTCTGTTCGCCATTTCCTGCATGCGCTGCTTCCAGGAAATTTCAAGATGAGGGAGAGGCTGTGCCCTGCAGTGATCCGGCAGGTGCGTGTGTGTGAAAGAGGGGGGGGAGGGGAGGGGAAGGAAGGGGTAAAGGGGAGAAAGAGGGGAGGGAAACGGGCGGGGGTTGAAGAACAGGGGAAAATGACGATATGAGGGCAGTGGGTGGAGATGATGTAGAGGCTGTGCTCTGCAGGTATCCGGCAGGTGTGTGTGGGGGGAGGGGAAGGGAAGGGGGGTGAGGGGAAGGGGGAGGAGGTGAAGGAAGAGGAGGACGGGAAAGAAGGGGTGGAATTTTGACTTTGACAGGTGAGCACGGAGGAGGAAATTTCCACATTATTACCTCGCTGTTCTTTCCTTGTCGGCTTTTGATCTCCTTGTTCCTCCAAGCACGAGTGTTTCTTCCTTTTTGCTACTTCCCCTTTTCTTTACCCTGCCCTGAAACTTTCAGGTTGCACGCGTATTGACCCCTGGCACTGGTATGTATTCATCCTGCTGCAAACCCCCTCAAATCTGCCAGTAATGTGAAAATACTCAACCCCTCATGTCCCATTGATGTTGAATATTCTGATTTTTTTTTTTTCCCCGCCTGTATGGCAAGTCACTTGGTTTCTCCTAATCGCTTCAATCTGCTTGCCTTGCACCCTCTCCCTTGATTTGTCCGTCCCAGCCAGCGTCAATCCATCAATCATGTATAGTCCCCACAACACAGTACTCTAATCCGACACCTGTATGGCAAAAACTTGATTTTTTTTTTTCTCTCTCTCTCTCTTTCTTTTTTTTTTTCATCACATGCTTGCCGCCCACTCTCCAGGTTTGTATCTTTCATTTCAATTCATTTTATTGGCCTGCTGATCCCCTGCAGGTGTAGCAGTGCTGATGGCGGTGGGAAGGGGCATGCAGGCGGCTGTTGAGGGGCTGGCCGTGTGTCTGCGGGAGAAGCAATTGCCGCATCCCCCTCTCCTTGTCTTCGCCCTTCCGTATCCCTTCTCCCCTATCTCCTCCCCTGTATGCAGGAGTGGCAGTGCTGATGGCGGTGGGAAGGGGCGTGAGGGCAGCTGTCGAGGGTCTGAGTGTGTGTCTGTTGCTGCATGTGCTGCTGCCTCCCCCTCCCCCACTGTCTCCCCAACTCCTGCCTGTGCCTTTCCCCTCACCCGCCCCTGTTTCCTTCTCTGATCTCCCCGCTTCCTGCAGGAGTGGCAGTGCTGATGGCAGTGGGCAGGGGCGTGAGGGCAGCTGTTGAGGGGCTGGCTGTGTGCCTGCGGGAGAAGCAGCGACTGGCTGTGGAGATGGAGGTGAGGGGAAGGAAGGGATTGAAGCGAGTTGACATGAAATCGGTGTAAGGGAAGGCTCATGACTCGTGAGGGCAGCTGTTGAGGGGCTGGCTGTGTGCCTGCGGGAGAAGCAGCGAGTGGCTGTGGAGATGGAGGTGAGGGGGAACAGAAGGGAGGGTTTGAAGGAGGTGAGGGGCAAGTGGGTCGTAAGAAAAGGCACCTCCAAGAAAATGCACGGTGAAGGATGGGGTGAAATTTATGAGGGCAGCTGGTGAGGGACAAGTGGGCCGTAAGAAAAGGCACCTCAAAGAAAAGCAGTGGCTGGCAGCGGAGATGGATGTGAGGGGGATGGGGTGTGAGGTGAAGGGGGGGTGGGGTGAGGATGGGGACATGTGAGGATGGGGCATGTGAGTCACCCCTTAAGGACAGTGGCATGACCCATGAGGGCAGCAGCCGCTGAGGTGCTGAGTGTGTGTCTGCGGGAAAAGGACTGGCAGTGGGGATGGAGGGTGGGGGGGTGAGGTGGGGGGGTTGAGTTGGGTGAGGTGAAGGGGGGGGACTGCATGATGATTTTTTTTTTTTTTTTTTTTTTTTTTTTTTTTTTTTTTTTTTTTTTTTTTTTTTTTTTTTTCCTGGGCATTCGAGTCGATGCGTATGTGTTGGAGCGATCGGCTGCTCCCATTCATGAATTTTGGGTTGACTCGACTGGAGCGGAATGCTGCTCTCCTTTATTTTTTCCACCCATAACATTACATCATGCACTGTGCATCGTTTCCTCTCCTGCTCGTGAATTTGTACAGGGTATTCGAGTCGACGTGTATGTGTTGGAGCGAACTGAAGCCCCTGTTCCGGAACCACCAGCACCAGCACCAGCACACCGACTTGCAAGGAAGTGAGGTAGTGCTTTCAGACATAACCGGACGATCACGCATACAGCATCGATGCGCGCCGATGTGTATGTGTTGGAGCGAACTGAAGCCCCTGTTCCGGAACCAGCAGCAGCAGCAGCAGCAGCATGAGCAGCAGCAGCTGCTGCACCACCAGCACACCGATTTGCAAGGAAGTAATGCACCAGAGACTTACATCTCAGGGTTGCACCTAGGGAATTCAAGTCGATGTGCATGTGCTGGAAGCCTGGTTTTGAGTCGACTTGAAACACTGCACCCAGGGAATTCGAGTCGATGTGCATGTGCTGGAAGCCTGGTTTTGAGTCGACTTGAAACACTGCACCCAGGGAATTCGAGTCGATGTGCATGTGCTGGAAGCCTGGTTTTGAGTCGACTTGAAACACTGCACCCAGGGAATTCGAGTCGATGTGCATGTGCTGGAAGCCTGGTTTTGAGTCGACTTGAAACACTGCACCCAGGGAATTCGAGTCGATGTGCATGTGCTGGAAGCCTGGTTTTGAGTCGACTTGAAACACTGCACCCAGGGAATTCGAGTCGATGTGCATGTGGTGGAAGCCCTGGTTTTGAGTCGACTTGAAACACTGCACCCAGGGAATTCGAGTCGATGTGCATGTGCTGGAAGCCTGGTTTTGAGTCGACTTGAAACACTGCACCCAGGGAATTCGAGTCGATGTGCATGTGCTGGAAGCCTGGTTTTGAGTCGACTTGAAACACTGCACCCAGGGAATTCGAGTCGATGTGCATGTGCTGGAAGCCCTGGTTTTGAGTCGACTTGAAACACTGCACCCAGGGAATTCGAATCGATGTGCATGTGCTGGAAGCCCTGGATTTGAGTCGACTTGAAACACTGCACCCAGGGAATTCGAGTCGATGTGCATGTGCTGGAAGCCCGATTTTGAGTCGACTTGAAACACTGCACCCAGGGAATTCGAGTCGATGTGCATGTGCTGGAAGCCCTGGCTTTGAGTCGACTTGAAACACTGCACCCAGGGAATTCGAGTCGATGTGCATGTGCTGGAAGCCTGGTTTTGAGTCGACTTGAAACACTGCACCCAGGGAATTCGAGTCGATGTGCATGTGCTGGAAGCCTGGTTTTGAGTCGACTTGAAACACTGCACCCAGGGAATTCGAGTCGATGTGCATGTGCTGGAAGCCTGGTTTTGAGTCGACTTGAAACACTGCACCCAGGGAATTCGAGTCGATGTGCATGTGCTGGAAGCCTGTTTTTGAGTCGACTTGAAACACTGCACCCAGGGAATTCGAGTCGATGTGCATGTGCTGGAAGCCCTGGTTTTGAGTCGACTTGAAACACTGCACCCAGGGAATTCGAGTCGATGTGCATGTGCTGGAAGCCCTGGTTTTGAGTCGACTTGAAACACTGCACCCAGGGAATTCGAGTCGATGTGCATGTGCTGGAAGCCTGGTTTTGAGTCGACTTGAAACACTGCACCCAGGGAATTCGAGTCGATGTGCATGTGCTGGAAGCCCGGTTTTGAGTCGACTTGAAACACTGCACCCAGGGAATTCGAGTCGATGTGCATGTGCTGGAAGCCCTGGTTTTGAGTCGACTTGAAACACTGCACCCAGGGAATTCGAGTCGATGTGCATGTGCTGGAAGCCTGGTTTTGAGTCGACTTGAAACACTGCACCCAGGGAATTCGAGTCGATGTGCATGTGCTGGAAGCCCTGGTTTTGAGTCGACTTGAAACACTGCACCCAGGGAATTCGAGTCGATGTGCATGTGCTGGAAGCCCGGTTTTGAGTCGACTTGAAACACTGCACCCAGGGAATTCGAGTCGATGTGCATGTGCTGGAAGCCCGGTTTTGAGTCGACTTGAAACAATGCACCCAGGGAATTCGAGTCGATGTGCATGTGCTGGAAGCCCTGGTTTTGAGTCGACTTGAAACACTGCACCCAGGGAATTCGAGTCGATGTGCATGTGCTGGAAGCCCGGTTTTGAGTCGACTTGAAACACTGCACCCAGGGAATTCGAGTCGATGTGCATGTGCTGGAAGCCCGGTTTTGAGTCGACTTGAAACACTGCACCCAGGGAATTCGAGTCGATGTGCATGTGCTGGAAGCCCCGGTTTTGAGTCGACTTGAAACACTGCACCCAGGGAATTCGAGTCGATGTGCATGTGCTGGAAGCCCCGGTTTTGAGTCGACTTGAAACACTGCACCCAGGGAATTCGAGTCGATGTGCATGTGCTGGAAGCCCCGGTTTTGAGTCGACTTGAAACACTGCACCCAGGGAATTCGAGTCGATGTGCATGTGCTGGAAGCCCCGGTTTTGAGTCGACTTGAAACACTGCACCCAGGGAATTCGAGTCGATGTGCATGTGCTGGAAGCCTGGTTTTGAGTCGACTTGAAACACTGCACCCAGGGA